ACACTCGAAATCCTGGAGATGGGGTAGGCGTAGCTGCATTTTTCCACAAGTGGCGGTTACTGTGCTTTTGGAGGAATATTTCCATTTTGACACAATTGTGGTCGTGTCTCCATCCAATACAGAACAAGATGACAGTTGTCTCAAACTGAAATATCCCACGAGTGACCTGTTCTGTGCCATGCTCAAATGCCACGCCTACTCCATCTCAGAGGTGCGGAGTATACCTAATGAATTTTCTGGATTGTTGAATTTTTCCCGCTTTGCGCGCATCATCTTAGGATCAAACCTACCGGGAGTAATTTTGTTCGGGAAAGCTTGGTAAGATGGAATGTAGGTTCGATGGGAAACTGGGTAGTACAAGAATAGGGAATTTGAAGAAGGGGTGGTGGCCTTTTCTTCAGGAATTCTCCAAAACGCGATATTATGCATTAACCACGGTGTCATTTATGTGGGCAAAGGAACTGGAAACCAATATGAGGCGGTATTATCTCTCCCACGATTCTGCTTTCTCCGCATCTTATGATTCTACAAGCGATAAGTAGTACATCTGAAAAGTTTCATTCCACAACACATGAACCGAACAAATATGTACAGTTGAAACGGATCTCGACATTTAAAGGAAAGAGATGCTCATAGCCAAAGTTTCGAGGTAAGCATGTGAGATGTGGTCCCTTAACATAGAGAGATCGTTATCCACTCCCGTTCGGGGAGAACAAAGTTGTTTCAAGTTTTCTAACCGTTTCGGAGGGGGGCAAAGAAAATGCTGCACTCCACAGAACCGCTAAATTGCGCATGAAGATAAATTAATGAATTCAAAACTAGAACGGAGACATGCAGAAGTTCAGCAACGCCCATAAAAAGTAAATTCAGGATTGAAAAACATGAAAAGTCACGGCCAGACGGCGCAGTAGGCCGACGGGGGGGGGGGCATTTTGCACTTTTGCTACTTCCCATCGACGTGTCGACCTATCTAGACAGCCTCTTCTCGAGTTGACAGGTTTAACATGATGGCTTGAGGACCTTGTTCCAGCTTCACAAGAGTTCACAGGTTCCCGCCAGAGTGAGACATGTAAACCGGAACTAAGGAAGCAACTATAGTACGAAAATCCCCTCCCCCGTCGACATACTGCGCCTGTAAGCTCAGGGTTTTGCTTATTCTGCAGCACCGTTGGTGCATTCTTTCTTCAATATGACCTGATATATGTGGCTAGGATTGATAAAGCCGCACTTAGAAAAAAAAGCGCTACCATTTGTTCGTTACCACTTACTATTAGTTTTAAAAAGTTACGTTTCGCGATTGCCCGATTAATGAATTCCTTCCACAGCTACACATCTCCAGTCTCAGAATCTCATTTCCGCGGCTCCCCGTTGAGTGGGAGGAACTCCTTAGCAGTCATTTTTACCTATCTGTGGGATAGATATGCAAGCGGTCCTATCTATAGATAGGTGTGACGCAGTGTTGTTTGAGACAGACCTGTGGCCTCTCGTCTTCCAGCTCGTCTTGCTGTTCCCTCACACTTTCCCGGCGAAAGGCCGCAGATTACAGTATCAGCAGTGCCTGGTTGGAAAATATTCAGTTCATGGAAAATGGCTCGATCTGGGCTTTCCAGGAAACAACAAGGCTTCCGTTATATACACAGAAACCCTTAGGATAGCCAACACCTGTACTTGCTTTGATACGTTTATTGGAAGAGTATCGGATATGGTAAGAATGCTTTATAGCAGTGGTTACAGTGAGGACTTCATTATAGCTAGTATAGTGAGGAGTATTTATAGAAATAAAACTTATATGTTACCGCAAATACTCTATTATGAATGATTACGGTAGCATAAGCAGATTAGTCCGAGGTATTCTCAGTGGCTTTTTCGTTTAAATTGGTGTCTATGTAACACATTTTTTACCCGCATGTGTCGTGTAGTATTTTCGGATATTATATTGCAACATCAACTGATAGTTTTTCGTAATTACGCTTAGCCGTCCTACTCACGGCCGGTTATCCAATCAATTAGCCTTCCTTGAAAGCCTGCTCGTCTTATCGGCTTTAACTTTATAACTTATAAACTTGCTGCAAGTTGATTTTTCTTCCTTTCCTTACTGAAGAGCACGGAAGGAGGAATATGCTTTTGCTCGGCTTCCGTCTAAGGGCACGTGCGAAACGGAAGCTGAGCTATCTCTTTGCTTTCGACCCCCCTCAATAATTCTCATTTATTAGATTTTACAACATAGTTCATTAATCTGTTTCAAAGATTTTATTTATTCTGGGCGCCCTTCAATTTTCCTTTCGTACTTTTTCTTCTGCGCTGGTAAGTCAGTTAACATCTAGAAAATCAGATTTGAATGCTAAGCAGCAGAACTGTAATCGCGGAATATGTTTCTAAGTTAGCAAATAGATGAGATCTAAGCACGCTTTTTCATTATTACTATCTTAATATATACATCTTATGATGGAGTAATTCCTAAGGAAGACAAAGAGGCTATCGCCATAAGGTGAAAGTCAACAACCAGGTTCTCTTTTACGGATTTTTTTCGCAAGCCGTCGGTATTACAAAAAAATCTTACAGGTCAGTTTACGTATTTCGATATGTGTGCGATTCTGAGTTGAATTCAACAAATTGGTTAATTATCAGACTAATCAGCCAACAGCAAGGTCAAGTAACTGCAAATATGACCGTCTTGCGAATTCGAAAAATGCACCTAGTCCTATGTTGAATTTCAGGCGTTCAGCCTAACGCGGTAATAGCTTGGCGGTACTAGTAAAACCACAGTACTGCTACTACTGGTGTACCCCTGCACACCATTTTTGATTGCTGGTTCAGCAGAAGTGCTGTTGCCGACCGAAGGAACTTCTTCAACGACCGGATGAGGAACGTCGATCTGTAAAAGGAACAGTTAGAAACCTTAGCCGGAACGAAGGCTCATTGATTCTTCGGAGTGTTGCTTCCTAATTGAATCTTATAATAATTCAGGTGAAAGTAGAAAAATTAGAAACTAAAATTCTGGGCTGGGAGGCTCTAATCGTATTCCTAGTGATCATCGGTGCCTCGAGGGAGTTACCATCCAGATTATCTATTTCGGAGTGTGTGGGTGATTTCCCAACAGGGGCACACTTGCCGTTAAAGAAAGATTTTGCAAGGTACGATCCCCCCTGCCCCCAAAAAATTTCTCTTGATACGACACGCATGCCCCCCCCCCACATTTTTCCTCCCGTCCTCCATCTCCCTAAACTCTTTCACTCTCCTGCCACTTTTCCGCAGTTATTGCCAAAATTCACTGGTTTTTTTAGGAAAAATTGCCGTAGAGATGGGAGGTGGGATTATAGGTATACAGCATGTGAAACTGGGAAGCCGTGAAAAGTCAGCTGGTAGAAACATTGTTCACTGAAGCAAATACGGACCCCGCCCCCGTCCTCCACCCCTCCCGACCGGCCAAAAATGCCTTTCTCGCTGGGGATCTGCAAGTGGCGGCCCTGTTGCCCGCAGGCATAACTGTGAGCGAGACAACGGTGGGCAGTTGTCGATCTAACCATAAGTGGATACGCCGGCAGTGTCTGTACAAGAGAGCGCAGGCGTAACAAAATGCCGATGGACAGAACTGACACCCGACTTTGCCCATACTGGCTACTACCCACAAATAGCTAACATGGCGGAACCCCGCCCTCCCCCCCCCTTCCAGGATTTCTTCCACGTATTGTCGCATGGATTATCTTGAATGAGCTCAAATATGACTTGAGAGGAAGAGAATGGCTGGCTGGTTTCATTCACTAGTGATAATGCACTGTAGCTACCATTCAGTCCTTCGTGGTCCTGGAACAACTCTGAGATGGCATTCCAAGCTTATAGGCCTAAGGAAAGAAATAATGACATACTTCATTTGCATCCAAACTGCACTTTTGACGCTGTGCATAAGAGAAGTTCTGTTCGGCAAGTGAAAGCTTAACCTGAGGTGGAGATGGGCCGACGCATCTTGAATTGTATCAATTAAAAAAATATCTGGTCACAACGGAGGTAGAGCTCATAGATGACCTTGACGGGACTGAGTTCACGCTTTTGCGTGAACCAAACCGTGAGGAGAGTGTCTGTCGAGAGTAGCCAAGAAGAAGAGCGCCGAGCCGTCTGCGATGACGTCGTTCATATTTCCTCAAAATCAACTCGATCTATTCATGAAATGAATTGTGATGCGATTCGAAGAACTACTAAAGGTATAACAAGTCAGTTACCTACCGACTATATACACTGTCAAGATCATCATCACGTGAGCAACTATTCTTTATTTGAACCATGACAGTCCTCTTCAGTGATGGCCGGCATCTGCTCTACCTCCCACTCAGTGTCATGACCGGATATGCTGCAAAGACACTTGTGATTCAGACCAATTAACTGCACAGTTGACTAATCTTTCACTAACTCCATAGCCATTGTTGAACCGACAGATGGATCTGCACGATATTTGGACGCTCCCTGGGTATACGGTAGTTCGGCGCTGATCGAATCCCAGAAGAGATCTTGTGTGAGAGGGGTTGACCGCCATGTAGGCCGTCAACGATCAAGAGACTTACTTGAAGATTTTGGTCGACTATCCCTGAAACGCAACCGTCGTCACGTCACACCTTCTGATCCAATGCAAGAAATCAAGCAGTTACAGTTCAGATCAAAGTCGTCATCGTCTTCTCCAAAAGAGCAGATAATTGATTCAGCCACTTTGAGCCATCCAACATAGAAAAAGAATTGAAACATCGAAAATATCGGCACGTAGAAGTCGATTGAGTGCGCTTTGGGCACTTTGGCGTCCTGCAAAAAAAGGCGTCAAAGCCAGCCGTTGGGAGCGACAATGTTTTCGTTGATTACAACATGAGTAGATCTGACCATGCACCTAGTTATTATCGTAACAGCGCTGATCTGACATCCCTCAGAGGAAGATCTCTACAATATTTTGTCTTTGTCACGATCCGAAACTTATCTACGACGAGTGGGAGATTAACTGTAATTTTGAAGGCGGTGGGCACGATGGCTGGAGGCTGTGCGGTTTCTGCCAATGTCATGGTGGAAAGGGGAGAGTGGAAAGCATACTCATACATAATTTGAGCTTCCTGCCTCCGGAATGACGTCCGAAAAGCCCCACTCTATCCCCTTATGAAACCAGTGTACCGGTGTTCGCTAATTTAATGAGGGGGTTTGATCTACACAAAATCTCACTGGGTCGATCTATGATGATACTCTTCATAAAAAATAACTCCCGTCTTGCGTTTTTGGAGAGCACAAAAAGGAACGCTTCGCTATTAGTTTTCTAGAGAATATTGAGCAAAACAAAGAATGTTACAAATAAAATGAAGAGATAACATAGACATAAAAATCTCAAATAATGTGAAAATGAAATCGTTCTACCTTATCCATGTGAGGAAGTATGGCACTGCGTTAAAGAGGCCAAGAGCATAGAACGAATACCGCACAACCTCAGTGATAGACCACGCCAGGAGAAGCATCGGAACTTTCCCGTGCCTGGAAGGAATATTCAGAAAGAATTTTGTAAAGGGTGAGTGCCACGGATCGCCACTGCTGCGGTTAGGCTGTTACGATCAAACCATTTAATGAACTTTTTCTTATTGATTATTTTCGTACAGGCCTTGAAGTTTCATATTTGACTAGATAG